GACGAGAGCCTGGCCAAGGACATGTCCATGAAGGACTCGGGCAGCGACCTCTCCCACCGGCCCAAGCGCCGCCGCTTCCACGAGAGCTACAACTTCAACATGAAGTGTCCCACCCCTGGCTGCAACTCCCTGGGTAACCCCCTTGGCAGTCCTGCTGCGGGCTGCCTGCTTGGCTGGGTGCAAATCCTAAAAATAGCAGGGGATCAGGTCAGGAATGGCAAGGAGTGGGTTTATAGAAAGGATATGAAGCGTAAATACAGGGAGATGTTTTCTGTTTGGGGGGGGAAAAGAAGAAGAAACAAAAAAGAAGGCGAACAAAAGGGGGGGAGGAAAAGTCACAGATTTGTGGAACTGGTTTTTGCCAGAAACAGGATTTCAGTGCCAAACTATTGCACTCCCATCCCTGGATGCTTTGGCTTAGTGTGAGAAAAATTTCCCTTCCCTTTTAAACCAGGAAGTTTCCTCCTCCTATCCCCCTGTCGGTGATCCTGTGAGGGAGAATTCCTCCTCCTCTTTGGGATCATTTGTCACAAGTTCTGTTGCTTTTCTGACCCATTGCAGGACACCTGACTGGGAAGCACGAGCGCCACTTCTCCATCTCGGGCTGCCCTCTCTACCACAACCTATCAGCAGATGAGTGCAAGGTAAACGTGGATGGTTTTGCCTTCTGATTTCTCCTCCTTTGGGATTTTTAGGGTAAAATGCTGAGCCTTGTGTTCTGTGAGCAGCAAACAGTTTACAGCATGCTGCTGCGTTTGTGTGTCTCCCCTGGAAGGGCAGGGGTGACAGGAGGCGGCTGCAGCCCTGACAGGTGAATTTTGGCCTCCAGGTGCGAGCGCAGAGCCGGGACAAGCAGATTGAGGAGCGGATGTTGGCCCACAGGCAGGACGACAACAACAGGCACGCCACCAGGCACCAGGTGAGGGGACAGCCTCAGCTCCCAGCTCCCAGCACAGCGCTTTGGGCCTGGGCTCCCTTCTCCACATCCTGAGGAGCTGCCATTCCAGAGGGGGAATTCCCTGGATCCCCTCAGTGAGGTTGGAGCAGGCAGGGAGAGCACAGCTGTGTTCAGGATGATCCTTCCCCTGTGCCTGGCTGTGCAGGAGCAGGGAATTCCTGCAGAGCTGTAAGCTGCAATTTCCCTCTGAGTAACCAGCAGAGAGCCAAACCAGGGGAATGACATTTCCCAGTCCCTGAGTCAACTGGGAGCTGTTCCCCAGCACGGAGCATTCCGTGGGGAGCTCACCCTGTCCTGTGGTGGGAAGGAAATTTCCTGCTTTGCATTCCTGTGCTGCAGCTGCAGTGCCCTGTGATTAGCAGAGGATCTGGCTCAGACCTCGTGGAATGGCAGCCAGGATGGAATTCTGTGGGATGGGCAGGGAAGGGGGAAGTTTAGAGGGGCTGCAGCCTCTCAGGGTCCCACCTGGGGGTTCTTCCAGGCCCCCACAGAGAGGCAGCTGCGGTACAAGGAGAAGGTGGCTGAGCTCAGGAAGAAGAGGAACTCGGGGCTCAGCAAGGAGCAGAAGGAGAAATACATGGTAAAAGCAGGAATTCCATCCTTTCATCCCCTCCCCGGGATGGAGTTTGTCTCTCCCAGTCATCCTGCAGCATTCCCAGCTAGAAAAGCTGCAGGATCCAACAGCTCAGCAGCCAAAGCGCTGTCCTTTGGTGTTCCAGGAGCACAGGCAAACCTATGGCAACACCAGGGAGCCTCTCCTGGAGAACCTGACCAGCGAGTACGACCTGGAGCTGTTCCGCAGGGCTCAGGCCCGCGCCTCCGAGGACCTGGTGAGATCCCTGCCCCAGGCATGGCCCTGGGGGCTCTGTGGGGAGCTGGGCAGCAGCTCCAGGCCAGCACAGCCAGCCCGGGCTGGGGGCGAGTGCTGGAGCTGAGCTCTGCACTCAGGAATGCGTGGTGACATTCCAGGGGTGCTCCCAGGGGACAGGAACAGCTTCAGCGTCCCTGCTGAGGCCTGGTGACAACAAAAGCCACCTCGGCCTTGGCCCGTGACTGAGTTCACAGGCTGGTGTTGCTGAAGCTCCTGAGGAGCCTCCCAAAGCCACATCCCATTCCAGAGAGGGATCAAACGATGCTTTGATGCTTTCCTGGGCCGGTTGGGTTCCTGGGGCAGGGCCTTGGGCTGTGTCACGGAGCCACAGGATGGACTGGGCTGGAAAAGCCCTCTGAGGTCATCGAGTGCCACCCGTGACCTGACACCACCTTGTCACCAGGTGCCACATCCAGGCTCTTCTAAACACCTCCAGAGATGGCAACATTTCCTTGGGCAGCCCCTTCCAATTCCCAGTGCCTCTTTTTGGGAAGAAACTCTTCCTCATGTGCAGCCTAACATGGTCTGGCACAGCTTGGGGTTGTGTCCTCCTGTCCTGGGGTTCCCTGGGAGCAGAGCCTGGCCCCACGCTGGCTGCACCCTCCTGTTGGGGTTATGGAGAAGCAGGAGATGTCCCCTGAGCCTTCTCTCCAGGATAAACACCCCCAGCTCCCTCAGCTGCTCCTCACTTGTGCCCTGTTCCTGTGGCTCAGGAAAGGAGCAGGGAGTGGCGGGGAGCTGTAGGAATTGAATGAAAGATGAATCCAGAAAACTTGAAACGGATTTCCTCCAGGAAAAACAAATCCCAATTCCCCTCCTGCCACTTGGAATGAACCTTTTGGCTAAGCCTGCTTTTCCCCCGGGGCAGGAGAAGCTGAGGCTGCAGGGGCAGATCACCGAGGGCAGCAACATGATCAAGACCATCGCGTTCGGGCGCTACGAGCTGGACACGTGGTACCACTCGCCCTACCCCGAGGAGTACGCGCGCCTCGGGCGCCTCTACATGTGCGAGTTCTGCCTCAAGTACATGAAGAGCCAGACCATCCTGCGCAGGCACATGGTGAGGGCTGGGGGCCAGTCCCGCTGGGAGTGCTGCTGTGGGGTCAGGGAGAGCTCATTCCCACTGGGAATGGTGCTGTGGGGTCAGGAATGGCTCAGTCCCGCTGGGAATGGTGCTGTGGGGTCAGGAATGGCTCAGTCCCGCTGGGAGTGCTGCTGTGGGGTCAGGGAGAGCTCAGTCCTGCTGGGAATACTCCTGTGGGGTCAGGGAATGCTGCTGTGGGGTCAGGGAATGGTTCAGGCAGCTGGGAATGCTGCTGTGGGGTCAGGGAGAGCCCATTCCTGCTGGGAATGGTGCTGTGGGGTCAGGGAAAGCTGCTGTGGGGTCAGGGAGAGCTCATTCCCACTGGGAATGCTGCTGTGGGGTCAGGAATGGCTCAGTCCTGCTGGGAGTGCTGCTGTGGCACCGATGCCCAGCTAGGCTCAGCCTGTGCACATGGCAGTGTCTGACCCCAGGCTGGCATGGCTGGGTTGCAGCGGCAGGCCAGGCTGCAGCTCCCCATGACCCTGCAGCAGCTCCCCGTGACCCTGCAGCAGCTCCCTGTCCCCCTGCAGCAGCTGCTGTCCCCAGGCCAGCAGTGACAGCCCCACTTTTGTCCCTGTCCCAGGCCAAGTGTGTCTGGAAGCACCCCCCGGGAGACGAGATCTACCGCAAGGGCTCCATCTCCGTGTTCGAGGTGGACGGCAAGAAGAACAAGGTGAGAGGGGCCAGGCTGGGCCCTGCTGGCCCTGCAGGCAGCTGGGGTGGCCCTGCTGGCCCTGCTCACACAGGGGCTGCAGCAGTTTGGCCATTCCTGCAGGAGTTTTGCTGCTGCTCCTGTGGTGCTCCTGCAGCTCCCTCTGCGTCTCACCCGGCAGAGGTGTGGGGCAGGATCCAGGCTCATCCATTTCCATCACCACTGGAATTGTTTCCTGGCCCAGCTCCTCTGTTCCCACATCGTTTCTCAGATGATTCTGACTCTTTCTGTCCTTTCCCAGGTGGTTTTGCCCACATTTGGCGTATCCCACTGGAGTAAACACCTGCATCTCATTTTTTTGTGCCCAGATCTACTGTCAGAACCTGTGTCTGCTGGCAAAGCTGTTCCTGGACCACAAAACCCTTTATTATGATGTGGAACCCTTCCTCTTCTACGTCATGACGGAGGCTGACAACACTGGCTGCCACCTGATCGGGTATTTCTCCAAGGTCAGTGGAAAACATTCATCCCCCACCTCACTAAAATGGGATTTAGGGCCCCCTTATCAGCACTGAATCCCTTTTGCAGTCTCAGGATTTGCTGCTCTTGGGAGCAGGTAAAAGTCCAAGGCTGAGCTGCAGGGGTTGTTCTGTTTGCTGAGGGATTGTAGGTGTTGTGCTGCTCCATCTTTTCTCATTCCCTGCAAAAACCAAACCAGCTCCAAGGAATTGTGGTTGCCAGGAAGCAGAGTGGTATCTTTGTTAGAGAGAAAGAAACTGGGAAGAAATGTGGAAAAAAAATACATGAAAATAAATATTAATCACCATGATTCTTTAAAAAAATAAAACAGCTAAAGGAATAGAAATTCTGAGTTCAGCCCCTCCTCTCTGCTCGTTTCCAGGAGAAGAATTCCTTCCTCAACTACAACGTGTCCTGCATCCTGACCATGCCCCAGTACATGAGACAAGGCTATGGCAAAATGCTCATTGACTTCAGTGAGTGTGTGGGGGGAAATTCCAGGGACAAATCCCTCCAGCTCCACCAGGAAATCTCACCTGGCTGCTGCTGCTGGAGCAGCTTCCATCCTGGCTCCTTTCCGAATTGTTTAAATACGGTTCTTTTCACATTTTTTTAGGCTATTTGCTGTCTAAAGTAGAAGAAAAAGTTGGCTCCCCTGAGCGTCCCCTGTCTGACCTGGGCCTGATCAGCTACAGGAGCTACTGGAAGGAAGTTCTGCTGCGGTACCTGCACAACTTCCAGGGCAAGGAGATCTCCATCAAAGGTCAGGGGGGTTTTTGGGAACACCCCCGTGCCTCTCAGGCCTACCTCACCCACCCAGGTGTTTGTGGAGCTCTGAGTTTCCTGGGATCTTCCTGTGGTTGGGAATGGGCCATTGGCAGCATTTTGAAAGGATGAATTGGCTGCTTGATGAAAAAATGACAATTTTTAAAACATTCAGCAAAAAGCTTCATCCAGCTGTGTATTAGAATGTTTATTTTAACAAAAAAAATTGCTCCAGCAGCCAATATTGCAAATATTTGGCCTTTTTTTAATGGCATTTCTCTGCTGGTGGCACCTGGGAGGATGTGGAGTTCCCTGGGGACATGAGGTACCCTGGAGAAACAGGATTGCATCTTCTCTCAGGGGATTTCTTACAGATCCCAAAGCCAGCACCCCAAACCCCTGCAGTCCTGGCTGTGCCTGCCCAGTGCCACATTCCCCAGGGGATTGCAGCGAGCTGCTGCTGGAGCCCGGGGCTCTGGGGCTGGTTCAGAGGCTCGGGTGGGCTCTGATTGCAGAGATCAGCCAGGAGACCGCCGTGAACCCCGTGGACATCGTCAGCACCCTGCAGGCCCTGCAGATGCTCAAGTACTGGAAGGGCAAGCACCTGGTCCTCAAGAGACAGGTGAGCCTGGGCCTTGCTGGGGGTTCTCCCATCACCTCCTCCTCTTCCTTGCTGCAATCAGAGGTTCCCTGGGTTCTTTTCCTTGCTGCAATCAGGGCTTCCTTAATTCTCCTTCTTTTCCTTGCTGGAATCAAGGCTTCCATGGGTTCTCCAGCCTGCTTGTTCTCATCTCCAAGTAAAACAGGAGGTGGGAATCCAACCTCGTTCTTCATCAGGGCAGGAATGAGCCCTGCAGGACAGCCCAAAATCCCCCCTGAGCATCCCTGGGAGGGGTATCCAAACACCCCTGGAGCTCTGGCAGCCTCGGGGCCATGCCCATTCCCTGTTCCAGTGCCCAACACCCTCTGGATGAAAACTTCTCCCTAAAATCCAACCCAGACCTCCCAGACCCGCTGTGAACAGGACTGATGGAGCCCTGCATGGCTCCTGCTTGTTCCCTCCCTGATAAATCCCTGGGTGGTGGGGGTTGAACCCCAAACCTTCTCCCTTCCCTGGAACCCCTTTGGAGCTCGACTGAAGGGCTTCTAGAAAACTCCTTGGAGGAGAAGTTGTTCTTTTGAGGTAACCTTGGTGTTACTCTGCTGTTACTGTGCTGTTATTTTTGCATTGTTTTGGCCTCGTTTTGGTGTATCTCTGCTGTTATTTTGGCCTTGTTTTGATGTATCTCCACTGTTATTTTGCTGTATCTCTGCTGTTATTTTGCTGTTCCTTTGCGGCACTAATGGCTGAGCCCCCTCCCCTTTGTGGTGCTGTCCCAGGGGTGGTTCCCCAGCAGGATCAGCCCTGACCTGCCCTGCCCTCCTCTTCCAGGACCTGATTGATGAGTGGATCGCCAAGGAGGCCAAGAGGTCCAACAGCAACAAGACCATGGATCCCAGCTGCCTGAAGTGGACCCCTCCCAAGGGCACCTAAGTGTCCCCGCCAGCGTCCCCGGCAGAGAGGCGCCGCAGGGGTCCGTGCGGTGCCGTGGTGATGGCTGCTGCAGTGTCCCCAGGCCGGGTCACCCCCGGGCTGGCCCGGCCTGGCCCTGTGTCCCCACAGTTCTGAGGAACTCGGATGTTTCGGCCTCAGTGAGGCCGCGAGGACTGGAAGCGGCTGGGAGCCCCGGGGAGCTGAGGAGCTCTGACTGCTGGGCCTGTCCCCGTCCCTGCTGTCCTGCTCAGTCCCCCTGTCCCTCCTGCAGCTCCCCGGGCTGCTGGGGTCACCCCTGGCTCTTGGGCAATGCTGGAAATGCTTCTCTGGGGCAGCCCTGCCTCCCCCAGCGCCGCGGTGGCGGCAGCGGCGGCTCCTGTCCCGTTCTGTGTCTGAAATAGCTTTAGTGGGATCATCCCCCTGTCCCGGCAGCTTTCCCCAGGATCCAGCAGATCTTCACTTAGTTCCTGTTGTACAGCCAGAATTGCACCTCCTGCACCCGAGGGAGCCACTGGGTGTTCCTGTCAGCCCCTCCTGGAGCCAGCACAGCCCTGCTGGAAGCGCCTCTGGATTAGAATTCCCATTTTTCCTGGTGTGTATCTCGTGGAATTGCTGAGTTCCTGTACATAAACAGCCTGCTGAGTGTATTCCCCTGGAGATGTTTTTCCCAGAGCAGCCTTCCTGGAATTGCAGGTCCCTTTTTACTGGTTTTTTTTCCCCCTCCAGGCTGAAGGAATCCAAACTTTGGCCTTTTCCAAAGAGCCACAGGAACTCCCAGCACCAATTCCAGGAGCTGTTGGGCTGCTGTGCTCCAGGGAGGGATGGATTCCCTGGCAGGGAAAAAAAAACCCCTTTTGATTCCTCCCTCCCATCAGCAGAGATATCCCAAATGGCCTCCCAGTAAAACCACTGTCCTCGTGCCACCTTCCCTGTGTGGCTCCAGTGTCACCGGCAGAGGGGACAGCCCTGGGAAGGGGCTGAATTCCCTGGTCCCAGGGCTGAATTCCCTGATTCCAGTGCTGATTTCTGAGATCCCAGTGCTGAATTCCCTGATCCCAGTTCTGAATTCCCTGATGCCAGTGCTGGCTTCCTCCATCCCAGTGCTGATTTCAGTGATGCCCGTGCTGATTTCAGAGATCCTAGTGCTGGATTCCCTGATCCCAGTGCTGGTTTCCTCCATCCCATTGCTGATTTCAGAGATCCCAGTGCTGGATCCCCTGATGGCAGTGCTGAATTCCCTGATTCCAGTGCTGGTTTCCTCCATCCCATTGCTGATTTCAGAGATCCCAGTGCTGGATCCCCTGATGGCAGTGCTGAATTCCCTGATCCCAGTGCTGGTTTCCTCCATCCCAGTGCTGATTTCCTCCATCCCAGTGCTCCCTCGGGGAACAGGCTGTGAAATGAAGCACTCCTGGGAAGGTGGGAGCCATTCCCATTAACCACTGCCCCATCCTGACTGGAAAAGTTCCCTGCTGCTCCTCTGGTTCCCTGCCTTTCTCCTGGAGCCCCGAAGCAGCGCCAGCCCCTCACTGCTCCTGGGCGTTCCTGGCTCCTGCTGTCCCTGCTCGTCCCCACGGCCATTCCCAGGAATGTCCCGGGCAGTGGCTCTGGAGCAGGGACGGGCCAGGCCGTGCTGCTGCTCCCGTCCCTGCTGCTCCTGTCCCCCCCCTCAATAAAAGCATGTTCCTGACCTGCTCCAGCCGTGCTCCTGCTTTCCCTGCCGCTCCCCCGTGCCCCGGGGCTCCTCTGGAGCCATCCCCAGGCCCGGGGGTGTCAGCATTGGCACTGGAGCAGCCTCGGGGCTGTCTTTGGCCCAGACATCCTGCTCTGGACACTTCCAGT